CTTTATGGGACAAACGGAGTAAAAGAAACTACCATGGTATCATCGGCACTCACTTGGCTCAACTTGTGAGGGTTGCTTCGTATGAAGTCGAGGCTAGTAGTTGGCTTAACATTGGCCGTCTTAAAAGGGATCATGCCATACAACATGGTGATCATCACTAATATGTACATATAATTGTAATATAAGCTAACTATCGGTATTTAGTAGATCATTGGATTAATTATACAAATGGTCACTGAAAATTTGAATAATTATGTTAGTGGACATTTTCAGTTATTTATTTATTTTTGTAGTAATAGCCACTCAAGTTTCCAACTGTTACACTAAGCCATTCGGTAACCAAAATGACATTATTTATTATGTCAAATCGTTATTATACAATTTATGCCAAAAAATCAACCAAAACTAAAACAACTTTACATTTTCTCATTTAAATGTGCTTAATTCCTAATTCCCATTTCCCAAATTGCGCTGAATTGACATAACAAATGACATGATGTGGTGACACGTTGACGTTTAATGGTGCTACATAGAGTTTAATGTTATTTTTTTATTTAATCATTACTGTAACGATGAAAAACTTGAGTAACTATTACAATAAAAAATAATTTCAATAACTTATGATGTAACTATTTAAAACTTCAGTGAAGATTGACATCATTAATCGAAAATTAACCCATATTCTTTAGAATTTTCGACGCGCGCGCGCACACACACACATATATATATTTATTTATTTTATTTTATTTTATAGGGAACTCTCAATCGCTACTCTTCAAGTGTGCACTGGATAAACTCTCGAACTGACGCAATAGCCTGCAAACCATGCCAACCAGGTAAACCGCACCAGGCAAGTCCGATGTGACAGGCTCGATCGAAAAGTGTTGATAGGGGGAATCGAACTCGTGACTAAAGCCTCTACGCTCACCTATTTCACCAACTCGATCATCCATGAAGGACTTCAACATTTATAATTGGGGAAATGCAACTTGTCCCAACTTGGGGACCGACCAAAATCCAGGGTGCCGAGGTGGCAACAGCTCGGCCCTTGGATCTGATAAAAAAAAAAAAAATTGAAGTTGAAATCGGGGGCTGAGGTGATGCCATCTCACCCCCTGTTTTTGGATCGGTCCCCGAGTTGGGACCTGTAGCATGTTTGTTTATAATTGATCATTACACTAATACTCACTGTTTTACAAATACATAACAAAATCATATTAGCCTTGACCATAAGATATTATGTCGTGCCTGCCAAATCTAATTTTGGCTGTCAACAGTGTACGTGTGTTACCAAAAATGAAGATGAAGGCAATCATGATATATATCAAGCAGGCCGGTCAGCTGGTGCCCGACCGGTTCATGTTGCTTCGGTCACTTCAGACTCCACATTAACTTTTTCGATTAGTACGAATGTTTTCAAGTAATTATAAGTAGGTATCGCACTCGAGTATGTAACGAGGTAAATGATAATTTCAAATTCACACTCCTATCAAGGGGTAAGAAGAATGAACAATAATCATTCAAAAAAAAAAAAAAATCAAGTTCAAGAAATTTAAAGAACAATAGGGAAAATTCAAATGTCTAAGCGTTTGTGCTAGGTTATATATGGAGTCAAATTCAATTGCTCGTTTTAGTATTTTATATTGAAGATAGAATTAAAATAAATAAATCTGTTTCTTTTTAAAATTTAATTTTCAATCTATATACGTCAACATAGTATTACGAGAGCAAACATTGACCACGATTTCAAATTTCTACATTACTCATATTTATAAAAAACATTCGGTCAATGAAAGCTAAAAAAGATTATAATTTCATATCATATGAGAAGATTAAAGGAAGATACCTCAATCCAAAAAGAAAGCGTTAGATCAAGTCAATCTCTAGTTCCTATTACAATGAGAGTCGGGGATCTTTGGTCTTCCGTTCTTCTCATTATGTCTAGCACCAAACATTCTGATGTAAAATAGAATTCGACCTCTAATTTAGCAAGTATCGACGACAACATTTTATAAATGATCATATTGCTTTCTTTAAACTTGACATCTAAAATATGAGTTGAAGAATTCAAATCAACACTTCATTAAAAAAAAAAGAAAAGAAAAGAAAAGAAAAAAATATACAAATATATATACACGCACATTCTTACATAGTATGTGGGTAAAAAGATATTCTCCAAAGACCTTTAATCAAAATTTTGAGAAATTATAGAATGATGCTGGTATCAAGTGGGAGAGAGAAGGGGGGGGGGGGGGGGGGCTAAAAATTAATAAAACATGTAGGGTTGGCAATGTTTCGATTCAAGGTTTGTTTGGCCCAAACCATTATTGAACCAGTAAGTCTCTTAAAGCAGAGTTGATATTACAAGACTAGGCACACCTGAGAGCAAGATTTGAAGGTGGGTTATTAGTGGAGAATATTAATCAATTAAGTACCTAAAATGTCGATTAATTCGGTTTCTTTATCATAAAAAGGGTACAGACCCTTTAAATTTGATATAATTCTACATTTATCATCAAAAGTAAAAGAATATTCAATTAATCTACTTGTACAAAGTAGGTTAACAAAGTTTGTTGACAAAATCAATGTTGGCAAGATCTAGGCCGTTAATCTATTTTGAATTCAAAAATCGTTTTTGAAATGAGTGATGAAGATATTGTCAACTCATACTTTGTCAACCAACTTTGTCATTCTCCTTTGTAGGTGTAGCATTACTCAAGAATATTAGGCTAAAATATCCATAAATGGGGAGAAAAAGGCTGAATCTTCTGTTGACAATAAAATTGAGTATAGTCGTGCCAGATTTGACTATAGAAGCTCGCGGTCCATGTGAGTTGATCCAACTGAACCCGTATTTAAAAAAGGAAGGAAGACTTATGCAAAAATACTTAAAGCCTATAGGCCAGCTATGGCCAGCCCACCACGAGCCACGTAGGTCCAATACACCTAGAAAGAGGTCGTCTTGAGTCGGTATGTTGGCGTGTGGGTTGGTGGGATACACATGGTATATCGCTTGTTGGAAATTTAGTCTTGCAGAAAGTGAAAATGAAATTTTTTCTTTAACTTGGGATAATAATCTTTTGTAGATAAAAATATATTGTCGATATAAAAAAGTGGTTATATACACGTTTAAAGTTGTGATTAAATCTGTACTTTGAATGAACAATAATTTGACCATTTAACGTTGGTAGATCAATAATTTGAAAATTGTACGTTGGAAACCATACTATGCTTGTCAAATACATTGGTAAGTTGGTATATTTGAGGACCTGTTGCAGGTTTCAAACACCAGTTGGTATATTTTTTACAATTTTGCCATGTGGCACCGTACTATTGGACAATTTAAAAAAATAAATAATTTTTTATTAATTAAATCTTGCCAACTTGGGTGATTTCAAAGATATGTACACTTTTGGTGTACAAATGACTTTTCCCTAAAAACATTTGATGAATAAAATTACTTTAACACAAACATCTTTTATGGTCCTCTTGAAGGTCACCCCTTCCCCCTCACATTTGGATGGTATTAAAGAACAAAAAGAAATTAGAATCTTTGTCTATTTTACTATTTAATCGGCGCTATATACCACATCTGCGTTTTGCTTACAAGGCAAAATTCCACTTTTCTTACTATATATATCACCCTAAACTCTACCCTAAAATCACCAAAAAAATTTTACTCTCCCTCTCAGTGTAATTCTATCTTTCCTTTGTTTTCTGCTTCTTCAATGGCAGATACAGCAGCTGGTTCAATCACTGATAAGATCAGAATGTGTTCAATACCAGAGAAGTTTCAATTACACTTGGCCATGTTGGCCTTGCAATTTGGATATGCTGGTTTCCATGTTGTGTCCAGAGCTGCCCTCAACATGGGCATTAGCAAGATTGTTTTTGCAGTCTATAGGAACATTCTTGCCTTGCTTCTTCTCCTTCCCTTTGCTTATTTTCTAGAAAAGTACGTCTCTAAAATCATTTTATTTATCACGTACTTAGATATATGTCTGTACTTAATATGTCCTAACAAGCAGGGCCGCATATATATATATATATATATATATATATATATATATATATATATATTA